GGCCGAGGCTTGCCCCACGCATGTGCCACACGCCCGGGTGCGGGGCTGGCCCAGATCTTTCGGCGGGCGCACATAAATGCCCTGGCAGGCACCATGGCACCCGTGGGCACTGCATTGGGGACCACTGAGCTAGATGCTATATAGTTATTCCCATGCTGTGAGCCATCCAGTTCTGGGTAAATAGCAGATGCTTTGGAGAATGCTCTCAGCTCCTGCATGCTCCATCTGAGTCCAGTGCACTCTTGCAAACTTCTCTGCACGCTCCTTTCCTCACTTTGTTCAACACCTGTACAGAAAGCAGCATCCTCCTCACCTGGTGCCTAGGTCACCTCCTCGGACGTATTCTCCGGGGTCCTGCGGATCTGGTCATAGACAGTGGTGATTAGATGCTCTTTCTGCGGGCTCCGCTCCATGTTATTTTCCAGGTGACGCAGGGCCTGAAACAAAAGCAGATAGGCTTGTTCTCGGAAGGACGGTGCAAGCCGTCTTCTCTGCAGGTGAATTTGCCAACAAGTCTCCTCCCAAATCTGAGCTAGCAGAGCAACTGCCTGGCCTGGTAGCAGTTGTAGGTTGTTATCCTCTAGTCAGAACAGAGCGGGGCGTGACCCACACTGCTCTTACACTTTCAGAACTGGACAACACATAATCTAACCTCTTCAAAGCTCAACATGAGGAAACTCTCGGAGGGACACTGTTTGGAGGAAGTGTCTGACCCTCTTTTCTTGCAATGGTTTGATGCGTCTGTGATGACCCCACGTTAGGCCTTCAGCAGAGATAAACCCAGCACCTTCAGCCTCAAGAAGAGAGGTGGGTGATAAGAGGCTGTGGGCCAGACGTGGATCGTCACAGTTAGCCCCTGGCAGACCGCCGCCACTGTATTTACCTGCGGCTTGCAGCTCCTATTGGCTTGTGGATTGCCGCTTCTGGTCCATGGGAGCTGCAGGAAGCAGCACGAACTGGGACTTCCCACAGCTCCCATTGGCTGGGAACAGCGATCCATGGCCAACAGGAGCTTCAAGCCACTATACGTGCAGAGGGGTGGCCTGCCAGTGGCTAACCCTATCGAACTGCATCTGGCCCCCGGGCTGCCTATTGCCCACCCCTGCTCAAGAAGCATAAAGCCCATCTGCTGGAGCTAAAGGAGCATCACATTAACTAACGGCAGTAGTAGGCTGTTATCCTCTCTAGATAGCAGTCACTAGAGGGTGAGGTGGCACATTTCAGCAGCGGGTTTCACATTCACACAACACTCTCTTGGCGCGTCGTGCCAAGCCGTGGCTGCACCAGTGCATTCTGGGATTCTGGAGGCCCCAGCCCGAGTGCCTTCTATTTCTGCTGGCAGCAAAGCCTACGAGGTTGTTTCCACTCTGCCTTGGGAGACAGGACGTGTCGGAACCCTTGGGACTCCCTGCCTCTCTGTCAGCCTATAGACAAAGGCGGCGTGTGTGTGTGTGTGTGTGTGTGTGTCATGGCACCTCTGCACCTTCCTCTGCATGGCACTGTCGTTCTGGGCACGTAAGGGTCTGTGGGGAGGCATGGGAGGGCTAGGCGGGACGTAGCCTGCGGTGACTCTGCAAAGCTGGTTTGGGGGGATCAACTTGAGTGCAAGCAATCCTCTGGATCCACCCCCACTTGAGTGCAAGCAACCCTCTGGCTCCACCCTTGCTTCATCTTGGGGCCAGCTAGTCCAGGTTGAAAGCCCCCCTGAACTCAGGGGAGAGGACTGTGTGTGGACAGGAGAGGGTTAGGGACAGCCAGAACAAAAGTCCAGGCCAGCTCCGCAGGGACAATACACCCCTGTGAGGTGCAACGTGCATGCGCACACACAGCGGAGGGGGGGAAGGGAAGATCAATGTCTCTGAAGGGAAGAAAGAGACATGCACATCCTGGAGAGAGCAACACTCTTCCAGGAAGGGCACATGCACCTGTTAGAAATTCAGCCCCAGCCCCTCAGAATAGAGCAGCGCTCGGAGAGGCTATCGACCGGTGTTCCCTGTAAGCTGAGCACTTGGGTGACTGCCCAGGAGAGATTCAAGTGCCGTCCAGCTGTTAGCAGCGCGCCCACGGCCGGCAGTAGGTGTTTCTATTGGTGGTGCACACCCGTACACGCCTCGGTGCGCAGGACAAAATGTATTCCGCACGCGGATGGGAAAAACTTAGGAGGGAACACTGCTGCGGACCCACACCTGAATGACAGCTCTAACCCTGGGGGAGATGCAGGGGAG